AGGATGCAATGAGTCATGACGAGAGCGATCAGTACCCTAAAGCGAGTCAGAAACGGTGAAGATTGTTAAACCCTTATCATAAGAAAGCACGGGATGCTGGCTTAAGAGCGAACTTACATTAGGAAAAACTGTATATTGGGAAAACACTTTACGCAATTGATGACCTGCCTATAATGGACATAGATAAATTGGACGCAATTTCCGATAGATCTTCCGGCGCAGTATACCGCAATGAAACACATGGCATGACGTATCAGAAATAGGATGCATTATGGGAACAATTAAATATTACACTATGGAATGTTCAGGGATTATCTTCAAAATTAAATGACACTGACTTTTTAGATATTTCGCGATTTGATCACATTTTGTTAACAGAAACCTGGACATCAAAAATCTTAAGATTAACGGTTATGAGCATTTTAACTGTCATAGACCTAAAGGTAATTCACGATCAAAGCCACAGCGGGGGTATTTTAGTATATTTTAAAAAGGAATTTTCACATGGAATTGAGATAGTCAGTTCAAATAATAAAGGAATTGTGTGGGTTAAATTAAAAAGGTAGTTTTTAGGTTATGATAAAGATACTTATATCTGTTTTTGTTATTTTCCACCAGAAGACTCTAACTTGTATAAATCACCGAATTCATGTTTGTTTAAGATTGACGTATTTGACCAATCGAAAAGTGATTGCCGAAAATATAGCGAGATAGGCTATATGTACTGTACTCTAGAACAGGTGAGAGATCAGTCTTCATTGAAGATTTGAACATAAACAGATTTATAGCGGTTTCTGCATTAGATGACTCTTAAAATGAATTACCTTTAAGGCAAAATGATGATAAAATCGTCAATTTGTTCGGTATCCAATTATTGGCGTCCGTACCGAAGCGCGGCGCCCCTTATGGAATGAAATCAGATTTTGTGAAAGAGCGACAGCAACTTCTCGAGCCTTTTAGTCGGTCATAATAAAAGCCGTTCATTCAGATCGGTATGAGGGTGTTTGATTATTGATTAAAAATAAAATGTCGCGATATGTACAATGAATAGCGAACTGGTGAATTTCGCATTGCAAATGAAATAACCTTTTCCGCCAATAAATAGTGCTCTTCGGGTTTTTTTTATTTATCATTTTGTAGTACACAGTGGGTTATTATGGTATGTTATTGTTGTACATGTATCCGAAAGCTGTAAATAGAATGATAATTTGATGACCTAAACATTCCGAAAATCTATTTATAGAGGGATGTACTCCTATCGGTAATTCCCGGTCTCTCCCGGTCTATTTTGACGACCGGCGAATAGTATCACACGTTTATTGTCCGGTCTGTCCTGGTTTTGGAGAAGATGTTTGATATCGTTACAGAACAGAACAAATGTTTTACAGATAAATAGTTTTTTTCCAAAATAAATGTGTGTCACTTAGTTTGGTTACAATAATTAATGAACACATATCAACTCTCAAATTTATTGATTATTATTATACATAAACATTCAATTCGAAACAAACCCAACAACAACAGCAATAGAATGTTTCATATTATCTATATGAGATAAAAACAATAAATATGTACAAAAATTGAGAAAAAAGGTACATTTTTATGGTATTAATATGACACTATCAACTTTTAAACATTTTATTTAATTTGTTATTCGTGTTTAGTAAAGATGCCGAGGAATTATTCAAAGTTACAAATTAGATTTTATGAATTATTCAATTGATTGATAATTTAAAAAATGATAAAGAAAAATACAAATGTACATGTACATGGTTTTAGAATAAACAATAGTATATATTTAAATATTAACCATAATTTACTGACTTTTGACTTATAATCGTCGGTCAGTATAACAATTGAATTCTTAAAATTTATTTTACAATTCTAATAAAAAAAGAGTAGTAAACGTAAAAACTCAGTATTAAAATAGCACATAAAATAGCACATTAAACACAAAAAAGAAAAGATATTACAATTATTGTATAATAAATAATTATGCTCAACATGATCAACATGGTTATATAACCATTGTCATAATATTACTAAGTGTGAACAGATACACCTTAAGAAGGGGTCTTCGCTAATAGCGATAACATAATAAGGGACAATACACAAGTGTGGTGTTGATCATACGTTACACATATGGATTATAAATGATGGTATACATGTATATTTGTTGCTATTAATAATCACGATCATAAAGAAATAACAAGTGATATTCTAATCTCTAGCATGCCAATCAAAGTTCATAATGAACAATGTCTTTCGTCCGTTCATTCATAAGTGATATACAATTCTGGTAAAAACCAATTAACCATTGAAAAGATTATAAGAATTTCTTATCATCTTATGTCTACTAGTTCATCTTCACCTGCTGCATTTCTTGCTTGGACGCCCTTTGATGCTTTGCATCAATGCTTTTTTTGTTATTATTTTGTAATGAAAATTGTATACAAATAGTAAATGGTAGATTAAAATCGGGAAAGTGTACTTTCCATGCAAAATATAGAAATAAGTGTACGCAGAGTACAGTTGACTATGTATTAACACATTATAGAAATTTTTCAAGCTTTGACAATTTTTTATTCATGATATGACAGAGTTTTCTGATCATTGTCCTGTAGTGTTTACCTTAAGTTATTGTAGTAGTTCTATTTTTATGTCAGAATTATCTCATGTTGAAAAACTCGAATGGAATACTGATGATAAAGGAGAATTTTTGAATGCATTAGATTCACACAGATCGAAGTTTGATAATATATTAAATAGGCCGTTTGATAGTGTGATTGATATAAATGATTGTACCGAGGACCTATCTAATATTATTACTGATATTTCATTCAAATGTTTTGGTAAGAAAAAATCTTTAAAAAAAAGAAAGAAATGTCTATGGTTCAACGTTGAATGCAGACAAGCCAAGTCTAATTTTTATAACTGTAAAAGAGCCTTTTCTGTATATAAATGTGAAAGAACTAAATTTTTGTTCTTTCAAAGCAGAAGTGATTATAATTATTAAAGTAAACAATCAAGCAAAAAAAAATTTTATAAAAAAGAAAGGCAAAAATTGTCCGAAATGAGCCGTAAAACGCCTAGACAATTTTGGAAATATATAAACAAATTTAAAAGTAATCTTAATGTTTTTAATGATATAAAGGCAGAAGATTTAAAATTTGTAAATCATTTGTCTAATATGTCGAGTAACTCTGAGTCGCCTCTTTTAGATTGTGATAAAAACGAAGGGCGTAGTTTACCGGTAATTATAGGAGAACTTGATTGGGTTACTGCGACAGTAGAAATTTTAAAGGCTGTTATGTCAATGAATAGAAATGAAAGCCCTGATATACATGATATTATAGCAGATTTTTTCATTGATGATAAGGAATTTATTAGTCCCTATTTATGTAAGCTATTAAATAGAATATTAGGTACAGATATATATCCGGAAATGTGAATTAAAGGTGCCATAGTACCGATTTATAAAAAAGGTGATGAACTTGATTCTGCAAATTATATGGGTATAACATCAGTTAATAATATGGGTAAGATCTTTTCATTAGTTTTAAGAAACAGAATAAACTGCTGGTGCGAATCTCAAAATGTGTTTAATGATAGTCAATTTGGTTTTCGACAGGGAAGATCAACCACATTTCACAATGGCTAGTAACATAGTGAATTTAAATTGTTCAGTCACAAATTATTCTTTAAAAATGGCAAAAAAAGAACTTCATAAAAAACTGCACAGGAACGTCATTCTGATAGTATAAAACATATACATTTGTAATATATTATATTGCATGTTGAACATATCTTTTAAACGTCGTAAAAATACATGGCATGCATTTGATTAAATTTAAGTACTATTTTACTAACATTATTTACTACTCATTTAAATTTTAGATTTACATTACCTTGAAACCATAAATCGCTAGATTAAGACAAATAATAAATGAAGCCAAGAACAAAAATTACATGCATTTAACAATTAACCCTGAATTTCAATATGTATTTCATTTTAAACAAAACGTGTGCAGATGACTTTAAGGGAAGTGTCAAATCATTATATATATTAAAAGATATGTCGTTGAAGTAATGCTTAGCTTAATTTTATATTCATTTAGTGTAGAGATAAAAGGTAAACTATATTAATCTCTAAGCATTTGTGTTTATATGTAAAGTAATTATCATATTAAAATCGTAAATATATTACAAAATATTTTAAGATCATTACACTTTTGAAGGGTTGCATACTTTAGAGAGGGACATGTTTAAATTTGACAGATGGAAAGGCTATGCACACGGTATATACACAAATAAACATAAAAATAAATTGTTATTAATGTATGCGTGTGGGTGACTGTGCCTTTGTCTTACAAAAGTTACAATAGTAAATACTTACAAATCATTTAATCTAGCACCATAATAATTGTAATTATTATATCATTGAAAATATTTAAACAGATAGTGACTGTCTTTTTCATCATAAATCAAAGACTGAACAGATCGTCGAATCAGATTACTTACTATCGCATTTAGTGTCAAGGTTTCTAGCCACTTTCTGTAAAACCACTTTCAGATCAAAATCTTATATTGTTTTTCAGCTTCAAACTATATGTGAAAAACATTTAAATAAAACATGTAAGAATGTCAATATCCCATGTGAAACCGACGTGAAAACATAATAATTAACTATTTATCTTCTGTATCAATAAGAATAATCAACTAATCTATTATTTTCTTCCTTGTTTCATCCAGCGTTGTAGCAAAACAATACTGTCTGCGTCTTTAGCTATGTAGCTCTTATATCTGAAAAGAAGGAAGTTCAAAATAAGGTTCAGGGTAAAAATGTGAAGACTACATTTGTTTATATATCAATTTCTTGTTAGATTTAAAATGTAACTGTTTTCAAAAACTTACAATTTTCGTACTTTGTCAAATGGATAAATACATGTTATTGCATTATTTGACAAATTAGGATGTAAAATAGGTAATATTCGCATTACCACTGTAAACAGTATCTGCATCCCTTTGATCACTAAGACTCTCGTAGTTACTAGCATCATTAGCTTGTTCTCTTCCGACAGCTTCAAAGCCAGTTGTTGTGTGATAATTTGTGCAAATATTTGCATTGTTATTATCATTTTGAGATTGTTTTTTCTCCAGGTATCTGTTATAAAATCAAAGGTTTGCAACTTTAATATCATGAAGCCATATTCCGTATATACGAGTATATACACTCCGATGCCAAGTGATTAAAATTGCGGACTGCAATTCACTTGCTACTTTTCGCTTTGGGATTGAACCCCGTCCATGACTTTAGCTTATTTCACGTTAGGAAGCTAACTAACTTTCTTATTCTACTCGTATGCTTAAAAAATAAAGCATGAAGAGCTACGTGGGGTTTGGCCTCCACCAGTTAAACGGCAAAGTTGTTGTATGATTGACTACACACTACAAATAGTTCTATGTTTTAATGATCATAATTGCATTAAATAAAACTAATTAAGATACTTATTTTGCCATAATTTTACACGTTACATGTGTTAAATATATTACAATAATCCTATAGGATTTAATTCAGATATCAGATTTAAGAAATCAAAATAATTGTTTTGTTCAATTTTTGTTGATAATAGTTGATGCTTTACCTTCGTCTAATAAGAAATAGCATTAAAATCAATACAACGATGACCACAGAAATCCCAATGCCGCAAAACAACCCAATAATAAAGTTGTTACTCTTATTATCAAGTTGGTTAAGTTGATGAAGTTGTGTGGGCGATGTTGTAGTTGAAAGGAAAGCTTTTGAAGCTGTAAGAATAAACCTTAGAATACATTTTGTTCTATTCTTCAAACCACGCTTTTGAAAATCCTCAATAAAACATTGATATTACTGTTTTATTAGTTTAAATATTCGTATATACAAAAATCTATCTCTTCTATCATATCTTTATGATATAAAAGCACAAAATATCACTGGTTAGCAAACAACCTTTAGCACAAATTACAAACCATTATTAGTCTGATATCTTAGGCTAAGCTTAACAATGGCTAATATATTAATTAACTTTATGAATATTCATGAATGCAATTATTTTCCAAATATACAAAACATATATAACGTTAGAGAATTTTCAATTAAGATACATAAATGTGAAGACCTTCAGTATATCCTGTAGAAGTATTGATACAGTTTTCTCTAGCAGATCCGTCTTTGCATCCTTCAACACATTTACCAGTGGTTCTATCACATGCCAGATTAATACATCCATTAGAACAAGACTGATTACAATGGTCACCCCAAAATGTTTGAGCACACCCATTCAAACAGTAACCGTCTGTGAGTCTACATGTTATTTTTCCATCTTCTACTTTGCATGACGGTTTGCATGCTAAACTGCAATCAGTTGTGTAAAAGGCACCTTTACACTGCATGCATGTGTCGCCGTTTTCTTTTGAGCATGTCAGACATCTTCTTTCACATATTTCAGAACATCTTTCTCCAGTAAAACCATCATTGCATTTCCCTAAACAAATCCCATTACTATCACAATTAGTAGAGCATTCATTTAGGCACTTGGTTGTAATCGGCACGCAACTACTGCCGCTAAGAGTTTGTCCTTCTGGGCAATCTGTACATACTAAAGAGTTATTATTTATTTGGCACTTATTACAACCTTGAATAACACATAAATCCAAACATTGTGTTTCTTGTAAGCATGATACACAATGAACATTATCATTGAATTTATACAAATGAAAACCATCATCACAATTATAACATGTTTTTCCGTCCAAACAATGTCTACAATTTGATGGACAAGTTTGACAAAAAGATTCAATCCCATATTTGAACTCGAAATATCCATCTCTACAACCATTTGAGCATGAACGTAAATCGCAAAGTTCTTCTGCGCAAAAACTACAATTATGCTGGCATTTAAACCCGTACAAACTAGCGTTCATTGCTTACAGAATCCGGTATCATCATGACATTCCGTATTAAAGCAGTTTTCATAACAGTTAAAAACGCATCGTGCATGTAGACCATGGTTATTTACCTTACACGATGTACACTCATTGTAGTTGATACAGGTGTTACAATTCTCTGGACATGAAAAACAGAAGCCGTTAGAGAAATAGTAAGATGATTCACAACTCAAGCAAGTTGCACCGGAACATGATTTGCAACCAACAGGACAATCTGAAACAATTAAAATAAAAAAACGCACACGATACTTCCGTTTCATTTACAAATATCGATTTTTTAAATGTTTTCATCTTAAGAGGTACGATGAATCTAGAAATTCTACGCATTGAATTATGATTTTATATTATTCTTTGCTTTCATGCTATTTATATAAAGATATAGAAAAGCAGATTTTCAAAAACAATCCTTGGTGTAAATAGTATTAAAATGACCTTGTGTTGTCTCTGATTTTCTGATAAAAAGGAATTTAGTCATTACTATTTTTCATACATAATAATAAGGAAGTACTTTAAAATACTGACCTGTCAATATTGCATCTACTAACATCACCAAAACTATCGATATTTTAAAAATCAGTGTCATATTAGTTTTCAATCTGAAAGAAATAATAATGATTCAGTAAACATTTACATGTATTTTCCTTTAACTGGTACAGTTTTTTCATAATAAGAAAAATCAAGCTTATGTTTGACGCAATTTGTATCTGATGATATCAGTCATTAATAAACATTTTTACCGCTTTCCCTGTCTTGTAACGGTTAAATTGTGGGTTCGATCCCCGGGAGATGCTTTGGCAGTTTAGCGCGGAGGAAGGTAGTCTAGTACTAGTCTAGTAACTCTCCAGGAACGATGGTTAGGAAACTACCCGCCTATATGACTGAAATTCTGTTGGGAAAAAGGCGTAAAATGAAACAAACAAACAAACTAATGTCGACTATTACCCATGCCTTACGTATTATTTCCATGCCACGGTAAAAATCCACTTCGATAATATCAGGTACTATGTGCGTTATTAAAAGAAAAATTAAGAATATAATACAGACAGGTGAAGGTTTCCGTTGTGTAGGATATCTTTTTTCGTCGATGAGTGCGTGCTTCGTGCAATGTTTTATCGTTTTTCGTTTATTGTTTATCAAACGTTTTAAAACATGCGTCTGCACTGTTGTACAGCGTCCCTTAAAAACATCGAAAACGAAAGTAAAAAGCTGCACAACGAGTACCTCGACTTATTTCTTCATCATAACTTCATCGATTTTTCCAAACTAAACAACAGTGTGAAGCTAAATATGTCCAGTTTTAGAGCAGTGTTTGCTTTTTTCTGCAAATTGAATACGTTTTGTTAAATTGGTGATAAATTGTAGCGTATTTGTTGACATTTGCGAACGATCTTGATATTTATCACTAAATCAAGCCCAAAACAAATCTGCTGTATCAAAATTCGCCATTAATACAAACTAAAACAAAAGAGATGCCATCTTCAGAGCGAAATTCATCAATAAAAGGCGCTCGGGAATGACATTAATGACGGAATTACAGCTGATAATGTTGTCAGATATGCAAAAAACAATTTGATGTTAATCAGACTACTCTCCGCTTACCAGTTCCAGATGACAATTAAAATACAAAGACAAACTTTACAGGAGTCCTGCAGGTATGGACTTACTGAACAACTAGAAAAATCCAGTCTAGGATACATTTAGCCATGCAAAAACATGCACTCAGCACAAAATCATCTCACCGAAAAGCCCGTGTAATATGCGCAAGATAAACTAGACCGGCGGTCAAGGATAACCTACGAAAGTGCAAGCACTTATTTCCAGGAGGGTCCTTACCTCAGCAGACTTCAGAGACAGCTATGATATACAGGGGAATCCGGAAACCTGCCCCTGGCTTTTATTGAATAGATCCCTTGGTTGTTTTACATACCAAGTGTATAGCACTGATACATGCAAGGACTACCCGGGGTTCTTACCAGTATACCGCTAGGTAGTTGGGAAACACTGAAAGTGTACTTGAAAAATCCCAAGGCTGTTACCAAGGATCAAACCTGGAACCTCAGGAGTGACAGTCAGTGGTCTAAACAACTGAGCTATCGCGCCTCCCTGATGAGTCCTGTAAAGTTTCATTGAAATTGCATTTGCAGTAGAAAAGGAGAGGTTCGAAATAAAAGTCATTAAAGGGAATTACTCTTACAAAAATTATTGAACCAAAAAATGCCGATGATATGCACAACTAGACTTGGTACTGATAAATCCTGTTAAGTTTGGATAAAATGACACAAGTAGCTTTTGAGGAGTGGTTCGGACAAGTTTTGTGACGGACGGACATATGGACAGACGGAGAGACAGACGACGGAGAATTGATCCATATATGTCACAACTTCTCTGTAGAGGCGACAGAAAGATAGTCGTGATTCTTGAAGTGTTCTAACCTTGGGCGGCATGCATCTTAACCACTCTGTAACAGATATGTTTACATTTCCCTTTTCACTATATGCATGAATAGCCAAAGCATATTATTATCAAGCGGAAGCCTTTTGTTAAACTGACAATAAAGCAATAAATTAGCAATAAAGTGCGTGTTTTAAAGCCGTCTCTATTAAGAAAGATTTCAATGAATGCACGCCGAAAGTTATGAATTAACTTTGTTTCAAAGTTACTTTTTAAACTTCCTTCTCGAGTCACGAAATACTACATGCGTCTTAAACATGTACTTTATTTGAAAAAAAGATAATTATAGGTAAAATAGGTTACGATTTCGTGAATTAAATATGAATGTTAGGTTGAACAATTGAAGAGAAAACGCCTATGCTCTACATCAAGATCTTTTCAACATGTCCGTATTGATAGCAAAATATGATCAGCACCTATAATAAAGAATTGAAGTATATACACATGTACATCTAAATCTGACTAAACAAACATATAATGTATAACTTTTTGTGAAATCTAAGTACGACACAGTTAAAACCTATTTGAAATTCCACATTTAACTTGTTATTCAAATTGAAGTACTGTTTAAAAGCTTATTATTTTAAAAAATACACTTACCTTGAGGTAACGTTTGCATTCCTTCATTAGGAGACAAAATAATCCTTCAATTTTTCATTTTACATATTCATTAATTCTAGCATATTCCATTAAATAGTTACCAACTTCCTGTTTAACGTATTCATTAAACTAACGATATGTCAATATATAACATGTATATTTTATACATGTACTAAGTAACAATGATTTGAATGGGTATACATGTATAATTACAAGACCTTTTCGTTGGGTTTCATTACTTTATAATATTATAATGTTGTTTATAAATCACGGAAAATCGCTTTATATAGTTATTTTACAGTTTATGGTGTATACAAATATTAGCGTTCATGTCCTTCCTTTTAACTTATTTTTTTTTCGGTCATTGTAATAACACTGAGGCCAGCTTATGAAACAATTAGGTCAGGTTTAACATGTAAATCTTTTAAGAATATATCTATATCTGGAATAAATTTATCTTTTATATTCAAATAATAATTGACAATTTGAATTACTTACATATTTGACGAACTTTAAACATCTTAATCCATTCACAAATAAATTTATTCATAAACAGACGTCTTTATTTAGTTTTCAGAGAATAGTAGATGATACGCTTAACTTAAAATGGTTGGTCGAAAAGTAGTGAAATGTAAACAAAAGAAATATGTTGACATCCATACAAATACTAAATTACTGTTAATGTACTACATGTAACAGAGGAAAATGATGGGCCAGGACGTTTCCTAATGAACATTATTCAATAGGCGCAGAATGTGTATCCTTTAAAACATATTATGTATTGTTTCCTTTTATTTATTTATTTTTTATTTAAGGATGCAATTTTGGCGGTGCAAAATAGATCTTTCTTTGTAATTGAAATGTAGCATAAATAGCAAGAATTGTCCGAGGAGCAGCGCCAATAACCTTTTTCAATATTTGGTAGTAAAATAAATCAAGAGGGAACGGTTCTGGAAAACTAATTAGCACAATTTTCTTTCTTGGATATCAAATTTTAAGAAAAATATCTGTAACGGTTTTAGGAAAAATTACAAACCAAATATTTTAGGGAGATAGGTATGGCATGTTAAACGTTGCAAAATTCATCTTTCTCTGTCTCTCTCATTCTCTCTCTCTCTCTCTCTCTCTCTCTCTCTCTCTCTCTCTCTCCCTCTCTCTCTCTCTCTCTCTCTCTCTCTCTCTCTCTAAAGTAGTCTCTAACCAGTGCTTGTTGGCAATTTTACACCGTTTTTTCTTCTTTGCCAATAGTGGCAAAATCACGAGGAGTGTTAGAATTGAAAATATATATTGTATTATTAAAAATATTTATAAGATACTGAAATATATTTATTCGATAATTTGAATCCTGGAATAATTTGAATCCTGAGATTTTTTTTTGAGTGATCATTCAAAACCCACTACCTTATCCCCTCATCTTACATAATCACCTCATATATGTTTTGTAAGAACTAGAGTGCTTATACATCTAAAAGACCCCCTGGTCATCTAAGTTATGCTATGATAGATTTTGAAGTCTTCAGGACATACAATCGTATAATAATGGTTTTTCATATGCCTTATAATTTAATCAACATATGATCCTATGGGAGGATATCATGTAAGACTAAAGGATCATCTAAATGTTCATATGAAAGATATGTGATCTATGAACAATGAGGACCAAGAGATAAGATCATCTTCATGGACATATAATCTAGTTTTGGGGATCATCTAGATGTACATGTATTTGTATATAAGTTGTTATGGAACACATATTAGGGGTCAACTTAGATGATTAAATAGATGATTGAGGAGTTTGAAAAGGATGTAGGTATATAAACTTATATCATAATACTAATATACTACTAATATTTTATAATTTATAAAACATTTATATGTGGGAATGAGTTATCTAAATTTATAATTTATATTTAAATGAGTTCTGCTAAAGGTCAATACACTATCTTACACTTTGAAAGATATCTATTTTCACCAACATACTTTATATCTTGCAGTGTACGTTTATGCAATCTGTTGTTAAGTTTTTTTTTCTGCGCCGATTGTCCAGCATAAGTTTTCCAAGTGAAACTGACCTTATTTATAACTTGTGTGTGTGTGCGTGCGTGCTTGCGTGCGTACGTGTCTGCGTGCGTGTGTGTCTATGATGTTGCTTTAACATACGTTTATATCGAGATAAAAGTAAGAGTGAAATAGCGAACATACATGTATTGTCTTCCTCAGAGGCAAATAGCCTAAATATTTCAGTGGAACGATTTTATAGCGACGTATATTTATAGCATCTGATTGTGTTCATTAAATGAGCGAGGGTGTTTTAATGGTTATTATATTCGTTTCTCAATTCAGACCTCAAGCTCAAATAACCCAACTTTGTTTATCATATCAACTGTCGCCACTTTCTTATACAATCACTGCGGTATACCGTACCACGGATATTGCTCGATATTATGAGGACTTTCATCCCATTTCGCGACTTTGAACGGGGAACGAAGGTAAGTTCAGCGACGATATTTTCCAAACTTATGGCTATTTCATTTATCTAAACGGGTTTTATATATCTAGAGGTATTTTTGTAGCTCTAAAAGACTTAAAAGTATTACAGGTATTTGTAAAATTGATTAAACTACCCCTAAACGATCCGCTGCTCACTAGAAAATTACTGACCGCGATACTGTAGAATCGTTAGAAATTATTATATTACCAATATAAAAAAATTGAATCGAGCAATTTTTTTATTCACAATCCAAGTATGCCTTGTCCAAATTTCAGGCAAAAAGTGTGAAAGTACAAAAAGATACAGGCCGAAAAAGATACAAGAAAGTGTACCGAGTATTGATTTTAAGTGTACAGAGTATTGCAAAATAGCCCAACTTTAGTGTACAGAGTATTGCAAAACAGAATGAGCACATTAGTATGGAAAATCGATATTTTTGTCTAATTTTCACGTCTGTTTATCGATTCAATTTCATTTTTCTGATAATGTACTGTTTATATGATATTTATTCAAATATTTCAGATTCAACAATGGATTTTCAGTGTTACTACGGGCAAATAGAGAGATTTAATTTCCCATTTGATTGAAAATCACACTATGGATGAAATAAAGTGTGTGCAGGGTCGGAAGCAGGGTAGAACCATCAAAATTGACGATAAAAAAACTTTAAATACATGTCTCAAGAAACTTTGATCAAGGAGACCCATCTCTGAAAAGGACAAGAATAAAAAAACATATTTAGATTTTTTTTTAATAATAGGTTTTTACAGGGCAAGTTTGCCTTAAGAAACATATCGACGCACTTCATAAAATATTGGCCCAAGGGCTTATGCCGTCCAAGCATGCCGGTATCGTCTTAACCTTTTACTGCATGAGCATAATGCGAAAATGGCTGTTTTCATTGAATTATTGTTACAACTGCTATTAATCTATAAAAAATGCTTCAATACTGATCAAACTGGGCACAAATGTTAGCTGGACCATAGCCTGTGGAATATCATGCTCAATTTTAAATTTCCAGTTACCATGGCAACGGGGGGGGGGCGTCTCAAAATTGCCAAAATCTCTATCTACGTTGTTTTTCCGCCATCAAAACTGATTTCAAGGTGTACCAACTTCTCAATTGATTGAGATAAAGTCTAAGGTTTTCGGCGTTGATTACACGGTACCTTTAAATCGACCTGAGGCCATTTAGCCCCCCACAAGTCCCAAGTCTTCTCGACGATTAGAGGGGCTACGGCCCAACTTCAAACCCCCAAACAGAAGGGGGCACATCCCCCCTGTGTAACCCCCTTGTACCTTTTTAATGGGGGTGGCGCCGAAAAAGTGATCACTCTTTTGAACAACATTTCTCAAACGAAAAAACAGTATTTGGGGCCTAAATAGCGCATGTTTCACACTATTTGAGGCCTCAAAAGGGGTGGAGGTGTAAAGTCTTTAAAAACACGCCTTTATGAGGTAAAAGGATATAAGGAACATAACCTTTTTATTGCATCTGCTGCCCTTTATCATAATCTTATCAAAATCCTTTATTCGGTTTTTTTTAGCTGTACCCGCTCGGCAGTCATACGGTAACTCATTGCTAAGGCGTAACAAAATTTCACGTGCAAACGGTCTGCCGTTGCTAGAGTGCAGGTGCAAAATGCCCGAAAATTACCTTTATATGGATTTTTGGCATAGAAGGAAGTCGGTTGATATTAGATATTGGCACACTTGCTCAATACCGTCTAATATTGACAATCGTGAGGCTGTATTAATGCACTTTGGATGCATTTTTTTACTAATTAAAGTAAGATATGCAACAATTATTAACAAATTCTGGAAAGGTTGATCCTTCGATAGCAACGAGAACATTTTAAACACAGAAAACTGAGATTTTTCACGAGCAGGAATGAAAATCTATATTATTCGCAGATGTTTCCAGTAAAGTACCTCCAAATTTTGCATATTCTGCACATATAGTGTAAATAAGTATACACATTAAGAAATATTTAAAATCAAATGTGGTAAATACTTTGTGTTTACTACTTGCATTTACTCTTTATTGATAAGCAATACTCGTTACACTAAAAAGCAATACTCTTGACACCGGCGGGCAACTCCAAAGCAATACTCGGTACACTGACATGTTGTGTATTTATTCTCAAAATGCACTGTCATCTGAGGTTCTATTGTTGATTGAACATTTACAACATAAACATTATCATCATTATCACATTTCACTCGATTCAAGTTTTTCTTTTAAGGAAGTATATGCACAAAAACATCAAATTTGACTGATCCGAGCTCATCTATCACGTGAGCAAAGAGACGAATTTTACCTCCTAATTACATTTCAAAGCTATTTCTCAACATTTTTGGGGTTTCAGTAACTAGAAAAATTATCGAAGTATTTGTTTTTCTACAAAATTTATATCAAACCAATTCAAAATGACTAAATATCGTCACTAAACATACCTTCTTTCCTCGTTCAAAGTCGCGAAATGGGATGAAAGTCCTCATAATATCGAGCAATATCCGGGGTACGG